TAGTGGCCGTTCAGTGTTTTGGTTAGTTGGTAAGGTTTGAATTCCATCAGTTAGGAGTTGTTCTATCATTCACGTTCTTAAACAGAGTTGTTTAGTAGATGTATTATTTCCAGTTGTTGGTAGAGAAGTAGTCAGTAGATCTCTTTGAGGTGTGAAGTTTGGATTTAGAATTAGGAAGCCAACCCGGTGCGAAAAATTCAGTTGAACCTCCTAAGCAAGATTGACGAGAGCACTCGTGTGAGCAGTAACATGCACCATGAAGGCAGTTCCCTGACCTCGGCGGTGGAAGGATCCTGTTTGTCAAACAGACCAGGGTGTACGCACATCGTTATGTTGCCAGAGCGCGTAAACATAACGCACTTTGAGGGGACATCAGATCCCACGGTCACATATGAGTTCGTTCGTCGAGTCAAATCCGCGTTCAGAAATGAACGGATGACTCCGGCAGATCAGATTGACATGGTGCTTGATCATGTCACATCGAGCGTCAGGCAGGAGTTTAAGTTGCATCAAACAGAGGATGCAGGCGCGATGCTAGATATAATCCAGCAAGTTTATGGTGAGCGTCGAAGCATCGTGGCACTAGCGTCTGCATTTTTCGCCCTACGGCACGGTGAGAATGAGACTCTCCGTAGTTTTTCTCATCGTATTCATGAAGCGTTTCAAGCGATTATCAGTGCGCAAAAGAAAGTGAAAATGTCCCCATGGGATACGTCGATCTTGAGAGATCAATTCGTCGTACAACTGAGAGACACGATTTGCAGAAAGTTAGCGCTAGAGAGAATTCACCAAGATCCTAGTGTGACTTTTCTGTCCATCAGAAATTTTGCTCTTAGATGGGTGGGTGATGAAAATTCCTTTTCTAATAATGTGGTTTTGACTAACGAGTCAGTGATGCAGGTGAATGTTGTGAGTTCTACAGTGTCGTCAAGTGAGAAGCGTGAAGTGTCCGTTTTGAGGGATGAAGTGAAACAATTGAAACAACGAGTAGCGGCTTTGTTACAGCCCCCTGTACAGCGCAAACGATGTTTCCTTTGCCAGTCATCATCACATCTAATGAGTGCCTGTCGACAGAGAACAACTGTCGGCGATGTTCGGCGCCCTATACAGGCGCAGAGACGAGAAGCGTCGAACTACAGCAAGAACAACGAAACTTGGCAAGCGTGGCGTAAGAGGCCACAGGGCTCATGCCCAGTTGAACTATCTGCAGGGTTCAACAACCCCGCCAGTGCGAATTTGGTTGAGAAACCCGATGATAGACAGATTCGCGGTGAAGGTGAAATGAAGTCGAAAAGGAGGAGGCGTGGCAGGAGAAGGAGACAGTGTGTGTCTTCCAGTCAAGGTTCTCCTGCTCAAAAACAGAGCAGTGACAATTCGACAGCTATTATTCAGCTTTCTGCTGGTGTATCGAGCGCTGAACAGTTGCCGAGCAAAACTCAGCACAATGAAAATTCTGCCAGTTTGAACCAGTCCTGCTCCGCGTTACCTAGTGAAGTGCAGTTGACTACAGAGACTGTTGAAAGTTATTTCAGATTCAAAATAGGCGAGAAAGTACAGTTGAAACTCGAACCAGAAGAGGGGGACATGAATGACTATTGGTCTGATGATGTGTATGTTGTTTTGCGCCTCCCAAATGCTACAAGACCACAATACGTATTGACCAGCAGGGAACATAAGAAATTGCGCCTCATAGCCAGAGAGAAAGAGTTGAGGACATGTCTTGTGAACTGTTGACCCAGTTAATGGTGGACACAAAGAAATCAGCTGGTCACATGGTGCAGAGTAACATTTGGTGTGAATTTAATGTGGTAGTGTTCAGAGTTTGTTACAGGGGACGTGAAGATCCTGCAGCCACAGGTCCAGTCCAACAGAAGACGGCTGATTATATGTTGTGTGGTGAAACAATTGTTTCTGTTGATGAGTTTTGTACTCAGAGCTGTATTTGTTACGCGTGTTGTTGTCTGGATGTTTTGGTTCGTCAGAACAGGCGACAAGCACAGAGGAAGTGATGACTAGCGTCCCGCTACGGAATGTCCAGTGGGCAAAGACGATTTGGACAGGTGTTCTGTCTTTTGTCGCGAAACATGTGTTGCCGTTTTTTATGAGTTTGTAGAAATGTGTTTGTAACATTTGTTGTTATGATGGTGTTGTATTTGTGCAGTTTGTTACATATACTGTAACAGGTGGCGACTTGGATCCTACAGTTGCATATCAAGCACACAGGAGAATTTGATTACGTATTTTCTGAAGAAAATCTATTGTTTTTGTTGAATTCATAATTTAGACATTGGTTAATGATGCAATTATGTGATGCTCTTTGCTGATGGTCTTACTGAAAGGCGAGCAGAGAGATTATAGACATAGGAAGGTGTCTATTGGTAAGAGGCGGGGAAAATCAATCACTGGCTGGAGTGTCAGGTTCTTCAGGAATCAGAGTGGCACTGATTCTTCGTTAGGGGGCCGGAATGTGACAGTACTGATTACAGTCACGTTTTTTTACAAGAAGGAAATAGAAGGGAAGAAACACACGGAGTAATAAGGAGGTATAGAGTCGCTTGAGATAAAGAGGGTCGCTAGACTAACAACCCTGAGGGCATTGACTCAAGAGTCGACAAAGACGTGGGTGCATGCCAAGCTTGTTCATGAACTGTGGTAGGCCAATATACTCGTAAATTAACAGAGGCAGGGCAACGAACAAAGGCAACGACACAAGATTTCCTGGGGATTTTCCATCCAAATATGCAAAGTGGCTTGGAATACCATCTTTGGCGGGAAAGAGAAAGGTTCATGAACCTAAGAAGATAAGGTTCGTGAACTCAGGTGCAAAGGAGAGAGATATAACCAAGTGGCGTCGGGGGTATATACACTACCAGCGAGTAGCCAGAGAGACACTTGCACTGAGATCTCCGCCAACGAAGGATGCTGTGGGCATTCTGATCATGTCGCTACGATGGAGCTAAGTCCATACTTCTGTTTAGTGACTTGCCAGATAATGCACGAAATATTGCTTCATGTTATGTAAGTAGTACTGTGTTCATGTAAAGTAATTAGATAAGATAAGATCATGTTGGGTTATTGGTAGGACACATGATGATGATGATTTCTCTGATATGCGTTAACTGGATCTTGCGAGTCGTCTAACTGTACACCTGAGACATAGCAGATGCCATGTTGACAGATCCAAGTGTATTAATGCAAAGTATGAGTATCCATATATATGTTTATAATGATTTCTGGGAGCAGACATCTTCTTGGAACAACAACGAGAAACGTTTTGTGCATGCAGCATACGGAGGCTGCCCTCTTATTTAGGTCAGAGGCCCAATATCGTATTTCACAGGTAGAGAGAGAGTGGTTTGGTGAAATAAACAGGCTAAGCCCTAGAATGACCCTTTCTAACGGCCAGACTGTCTGCGATGTTTTGATTGTGATACAGGAGGAAAGCAGCGGGCACTGATGTCATAAAATGTATAATTGTGTATGTATAGTTATGTGTGTTATGGTTGTCATGAAGAATATAGGCTTCTGTTAGAAGACATAATAACTACTGGAAGACCGGCACAGCACATGATGGTGATGGTCATGATAACAGATAAGCATGACGTGTGAAGTATCATATTGAACAGCAGCGTTAGCGCTGCTATGGAATGATAACGCCATGAGTATTAACATGATGCAGTAATAATGTTGTAAACATTTAGTTGTGATTTGAAGAGAGAATGATATAAGAAGATATGGGAAAGTGAAAGTCATTTAGCTTTAACTGTCCTCGGCAAGCTGCTGAGAAGGGAGCACACGGATATAATAGAATTTACCTGTACAGGGGCGGGACAGAAGTATCAGATGTTGAAGTGAGTGGGGGATGCAAGGCCAGGTCTGTAGCCGGACTGTTGTTGTTTGAGGAGGAAGTGCATGGGCATTCATGTGGTAAAAGTAAATAGTGCATGTATGGTTATACATAGTCATATGTGTTGAATAAGAAGTACATGTGGGTTAGTGGATGGAGGTTTATTCAAGGCTATCAGAATGCCTGTTTAAAGGGAGAACTATTCGTATGAAGAAAGGCAGTTGTTTGCAGAGTAGAATACGATGTATGTTGTTGCGTTTACGTTTATATGCTTGGCAATGTGAACTTATAGATTGTTTGAATATATTTAACAGGTGACATGGCAGTTTCTGTCATGGTGTGCCGGGTTGGCTAAATAGGCTAGCTGGTCTTTGGACTGCAATCAGCTATAGTTAGATGGTATCTAGACTGCAGTCAGCAGTATGGCTAGATGGTAGTCGGTATTTGGCTATTGGTTTGCTGGTCTTTGGACTGCAATCAGCAGTACGGTTAGATGGTAGTCGGTATTTGGCATTAGAGTAGATGGCTAGATTGTAGTTGTTATTTGGCTTATTATTTGTAGAGCAATGAAGGATATTCTAGGCGTCATTTGCTAGTTTATCGTTGAGTGGATTCTGCTGTCAGTTGCTGAGTCTTATAGTGTGAGGACGTTCTGCTTATAACATAATATAACATCTGTCGATTGTGTAACATGAGATAGACGACTTTGTAATGCTGTTTCTTAATAAACATGATTGTTAGTTGTTATTCTTTTATTCCATCGTTAGTTTGTTGAATATAGGAGTGGTGCTATTATTGTTAGTCTCTGTAGTCTTTATACCACCACCACTTACCATATATCTACTCTCTCCTTCGTAAGACCTCCACTGACTATTACCTGATCGTTTGGGGTGTAGACTCATTACTACACTCTCCACACAGGAGAACCTATTGTCCTCTTATACATCCTTTAACTATTATTTCTTCTCGTCTGTCTCTCTCTATACTTTTATATCTTCTCTTCTTCTTCTATCCCTTCTTTAAAATGTACACACCACCCACACTGTGACATGAAGATGGGGACGGAGCGCTTTTGGGAATGCCCCGAGTGCTGTGATGTCTGATCTTGAATCAAATCAAATCAAATAAATAAATAGAATTGTGTGAAACATACCCCTAAAAACATACATCCCTTGGGCGGTGACTTCTTGCTCTCTTTTGACTAGCGAACAGAAAGTGAGAAAGCAGATTATTAAAACAAGTCACGAGACACACCAGCATTACTATCATAGTGATCACCATTATATTGATATCATTATCATTAATATCATCGCCACCGTCATCTTCACCATCATCATCCTTATCATTATCATCGTTCTCTAGTACGGATTATACACACATAAGGCTCATAATGTATTCGCCCATTCCGTTCCATCTCGCTGAATTCTTCGAGGTCATGTATGGAATTCAGTACACCACCTTTGGTCGCTATTCGTCTCTTATGATTTCTTTTAGATCTCCTCGTTTCATTAATCCATTTGACTCCTGTGTCAGTTTCTGCTTGTTGATTCTCGAACGGCTTGATGTATATAATATATCGCCACCTTTTTTACTGTTGGCCATACATAGAAGCGCCAACAACTAGACGTGATGCAGAGCTTTTCAAATAAGCAAGTGATAAAAAAGAACAATAACAATAATAATGAGATAAGTACTAATAATATCATTTAACTCTGAGTATACAGACTAACGGGAGTCGCCGTGGCGTAGTGGCTGGATGCTCGCGTGCGGATCTGAAAGTCGTGGGTTCGCTCCCTGGCGGAGCCAGACTTTTCTCAAAAATGACCTTGGCTCCCAGGTTAACCCAGCCTTGAGTGGGTACCGGGTGCAGTCACGGGAGGTTAAGGTGGCCGGCGTGATGCTGACAACCACATCACCCATCTTGTGCCGTTTCGTCTATAAAAATATAGGACTAGCCCTATATGCCCTATACGCCTAATGTGCGTTTAAAAGGGAACTTTACTTTCTACATATATACAGATCAACAGTTTCGACTTATGAGTTCTACGTTTTTCAGTTGTATTATCGGGGGAGAGGGGGGGGGGGAGTGGGAGGGCTGAGTGGTATCGAGGAATGGCGTTCGTCTCCAGTGACGGAGGTCCCGGGTTCAGGCCCCTGGTGAAGGCTGGGATTTTTTCACATGGACTTCTGGTAATTTCCCCCTTGGTGTATGTGTAGTAAGATCGGACACCCGTGTATATTGTTGCGCACGTAGAAAAAATATCTTGGATCGAATTGCGCTGTTCAGGCAAAATTTTGGATTATATACCCAAATAATTTAAGGATCCTCGCCGGTGCTACGGAGTTACTGTACTGCGCTGCGATTCTTCGGACTCAGGCTTGAGTTAGAATTAGAACAGATCACCTATGGGTTACTACCGTTTGTGCTATGATGTTAATCCGTTGCACAAACCATAAACAAGTTGTGTTATCTTCATGGTTTCAGAAACCAAAGGAGAAATGCTGAACGATATTTTTGCCTAGAAAAACCAAAATAGCCATACACACAACATTCTGAAACTAAGGATAGACACGAGCCAAGAGCCTGAGCCAAAGCATAGAAAGATCATGAATATAATACAAATAGTAGTGATCCGCGCGCCACTTACTAGGCCTCCTCGTGCCAAATTTAACCCGCAGGCCGCCAGTTGAATAGCCCTGCCCGAGAGGATAAGGACAAAAATCAAGGAGGACACTTCTGCATGCTGTTATATATATATGTAATAGGGTGGAAGCGACGAAGACTACAGTACAGCAGATTAAAGATCTTTAAAGGTTTATTCTGGTTTGAAAATGGCCAACCGGCCATTTGAGAAGCATTGGCAGTTAATAGAGTTAGACGGAAGATGGGGGAAAATCTGGCTCGCTGGGTATAAAAGATTTTGTTCAGTCTTGCAGCGACCTATTTGACATCCGGACCAACCTGTGGAAGCCTAACCTAGCTACTGATGCTTTGCACAATGGGCTGGTCGGCAGGTATGGCGACCACAGGTAACGTTCGTGGTCTGGTCGATTCCAGGCGGGGAGTACGTTCAGTTGGTTAAAGTAGATTTTCATTTGTATTCTTGCTAAGAGATAGTTAGATGGTAGATCGCTATATATTTGAGATGCTGGTCGAGCACGTAGTCGTCGTTAATGTCTTTATTTGTTGGCCATGGTGATGTGAAGTTAAATAAAATTATGTTCAACGTTGTATTCATAGTTACAGTTGTTTTCTTCAGCTTAGGACTTCTAGTTAGTTTACTAGTTTAGTTTATTAGTTGCCTGGCTATACTAGACTTTACACAGAAGATTTCTTGCCTGGGTCAGATATTCTGATCTCTCTTCCACCAAAACGAACTCTCTACTTACTCTCTCTTTTTCTTTATCTTCTTTTTTCTTGTTATAAAGGGCCTTCTCCGCCCTCGTACACACACACACACACACACACACATATATATATATATATATATATATATATATATATATATATATATTAAACCTCTAAAGGTATAGAGATTTCAAAAAAGTAGACCGAGTTACTGATGATGATGGTGGCGGTGGTGATAACGATGGTAGCGATAATGACGAAGACGATGATGATGATGACGACGAAGAATAAAACGATGATGATGAAGATGATAATGAAAATAAAGAAGAAATAAATTATTGACAGAAACGTTAAGCACAAAGAAAAACGAAACCACACGAAACGATACCTCATAATACTGCAAAGTTCCTTCTTCGTCATTCAGAACAACCCACCTATACCGGTAGCCTTTCATTAAATTGGTAAATTTCAGGAGCCGACCTTCCATGGAGGCACGACCGTGTCTACGAAAGATACAGCAACATTCGTAATGTAAGAGGGGACAGCATAAGATGAAATACAGCATATCTTCTTCTTCTTCGTCTCCTGCTCCTTCTCCTGCTTCTTCTTCTTCTTTGCGTTCAAGATTGTAAACTCCGTGCGATAGTTTTTGTTGTTTGTCCATTCTGGACACTGGTCTTATTCTAGGACTTGAGTTTTACGTGCACATCCGTATTGTAGATGTGCCTGGTAAATTACGCAATAAGCCACCCACAATGAGAGTGACTTTCCTTCCCAAAGATGCCTCGATCTTTTGTAGTGTTTGTACAATGTCGCAGGGGTTTCAGGCGTAGCGAGTCGCATTTGACTTCTTCTTGTCAGCGGTCGGCGATATCGCGTCTTATTGAAACAAACGTTAGTCTCCCCAAACAAAGTAGATTCCGCTTCACTGACAACTTGGACTGGTCTACTTTCATCGGGGTTACGGGTGTGACGCTCTGTTGTTTGCTGTCTAGCTTGTCCGGCATTTACGTTTTTCTTTCGAGAAAGAGAATGCCTGTGACATAGGTTGCAGCTCAGTCTAGGGGTGGGGGGGGGGGGGGTTGTTGTGTTTTAGACCTAGTTTGTCCATGATTTTGGAGTGTTAAATGCGCTTGCGTGCTGAAATATACAACACGCGGTATCATCGGCATTGCGGAACACCCCTGTAACCTTGTGTGAAGGACACGTGGCTCAAGGTCGACCAATCAGAAGTGAGCTAGGCTAAAGGTCGACCAATTAGAAGTGAGGTAGTGTGTAGCAGTATGTAAATGGGGTGGGGGAACAACTTTACTTTTACCCGCGTCTTTTATGCTGTGACCGCTTTTAACGGTCCTAACCCCAACCTCCTTACTCCATAGCCTCAGCATATGTCCCACGACTGTATGCAGCCTCTATTATACGCTGCAAACAGTCGTGCGACCAAGGATGCACCCCTGCGACATAGTGCAAGCGCTACACCATATCGAGGCATAAATAAGAATGGAAGTCACTCTCACTGTGGGTCGCTAAACGCGATTGGAACCATCTGCTTGACTTGTATGTATACCTTTGTTCCTGGTCTTTCAGGCAGATGCACTCTAACTTCGAAGGAAACATCATTATTTAGTCGTCTTAACGACAAACTTGTTAGGAGCCGGTTGGTCTAATCTCTTCTCCCCAAGATCGGAGCCCTGGAACCAATACGGGGAGGGGAGAAATTTTTATTATTAAAAAGTCACCATGTTCTGTGTATCTTCTCTTAATATGTTTGCCTTTTGGTCTATAGTTGCCTGTAATGTACTTTTGTATATATATATATATATATATATATATATATATATATATATATATATATATATATATATATATATATATATATTATATATATATATTGTCTTATGTCTGTTCAAAACAGAATTTTCATCTTCTTCGTTTTTTTTAAATCCCCCACCTCCCCCCTCCCCCCCTTTTTTTTTTCTCCCCCTTTTTCCACCAGTATCTACTGATTGATGATAGTGAAAGATAAATATACACTTACTTTGGTGCAAATCTCTCAGTCTCTGTGACCAGCTGACCTGCCTCATTTGTGTGTGCCGCCTCGGCATCCTAAGATGGAAAACACCACTTATAGTGCGGTTCAAAAGTCACGCCGGAACACTGTTAACAAATATCTCAAAAACACCTGTACAGATCAATACGGATTTTTGTATATGACCTTCGAGATCCCACGACTCTAAAATTTTAAAATTTACAATTGCATGGGTGTTGATGTTTTCTTAAAGCACCACATTTTTTTATCTTTGTTTGACTAATAAAATTTTAACCCTTAAAACAAAGAATAAACAGTAACTGGCACACGCTGAGATCATTTGGCAATCAGTTCACACCTGCAGCAAGGCCTAGTGATTATTTTGGTAGCCTATCTTGCATGCAATGAAACACTATGTTCAACAGGACGCCAGGGCTGGAGATGACCACCTGAGAGTCAAATGCTTGTGAAACGCGTGCAATTTGATGTTTCGAAAAGTTCAAAATGACAGTTAACTGCAAGCATGCTGTCTGCTTGTTTTGAATCGGTGTCTTTATATATACTCTTCTTCTTCTTCTTCTTCACTTTCTCTTTTACCGCTGTGGGTGTCGAGGGAGATATAAGGTTTTGTTTCTAGCTTTTCTGGCTGCCTCGACCATAGGCACATCGTTCTGTTGTAGAGTTTCTCTGATGTTATCCTTCCATCTTGTTCTTGGTCTACCCCGTGCTCTACGTCCTTCTTGTCTTTCCATGTATGCTTTGTATGGTATGGTGTCACAAGGCATTCTCTCTAAGTGGGCAAACCATTTCACTTGCTGTCTTTGTATGTAATCCAGAATTGGTTCTGTGCCGACTTGTTCTCTTATGATCTCATTCCTGATCTTATCTCTTATGGTCACTCCTACAGCCCTTCTCAGACATCTCATTTCCCTGGTTACTAATTTTCTTTTATGGTTTGTTGTGAGTGACCATGTCTGGCACTGGTAGCACAGAGTTGGAATAAATATGCTTCGAATAAGATGTCTCCTTGTGCTGATTGGCACTTTACTGCATCTAATGTCAATTTCTTTATCCAATTTCCCATCTTCAGTAAATGTAGTTCCCAGATATTTAAACTCAGATGCCTGTTTAATGCCTTTGTATTCTATTGCTATGTTTAGATCTGTCTTCTTTTTTCCTATTGACATTACTTCTATATACTGTTAACAGGGCAAAATGAAAACTACAGGTTTGTTTACATTGAAAAAAAATGAAAAAAAAAATTCTTATAAGGAGATGATTATTAAGAGGCTGCATGACAACCTTCAACAATTTACAACGGTTACTGCTTTTTACAATTAAGGCTGGACTTCTGGTATTATTTTTGTTCTCTCTCTCTCTCTCTCTCTCTCTCTCTCTCTCTCTCTCTCTCTCTCTCTCTCTCTCTCTCTCTCTCTCTCTGTGTGTATGTGTGTGTGTGTGTGCCTATCTCTGTCTCTTCCCCCTCTCTCTGTCTCTCTATGTCACCCCCCCCCCTCTCTCTCTCTCTCTCTCTCTCTCTATCTATCTATCTATCTCTCTGTATATGTGTGTGTGTGTGCCTATCTCTGTCTTTGTTTCTTCCCCCTCTCTCTGTCTCTCTATGTCACCCCCCCCCCTCTCTCTCTCTCTCTCTCTCTCTCTCTCTCTCTCTCTCTCTCTCTCTCTAGTTCTCTTTTAAAAGGCCAGCGTGAACTTGTGTGGGAACCACCACGATAAAGCAGTTAGACTCTTGCCTGTCTATCCTAAAGTCCTGGGTTAAAATCCACCTAGTGTTGGATTTTCATAACTGAAATAAGGTTCCCTTGCTGCCCCATGGTAGGGAAAAATGTCACTGAAAGTAAAGACAGAACACCATTTTTTTTAATCAAAGTGGTCTACTAAATTTCCTGGCCACCTAAAGGTCTTGAGTTTAAATGTGCATGGAGATGTGTGTGTGTTTTTTCTTCTTCGGAAATTGACATCAAGCCTTTACTTTCCAATACTGTACCTGGTACTTATTTAAGACTGGATTTACATGGGAGCCAATGTCCTTTTTAAAACAACATAAAAATCCAAAGCTGTAGTTACTGTGCCGGGAATTAACCTGTCACCTGCAAATGACGTGTGCGCAATGGACTCAACCAATCAAATACACTAAACTCGTCTTGAATAGGTCTATCCTAGGTTTCGAGATAGGTAATGCCGTTTGTTATATCTTCCATTACACTTAAACAACGGCCACAGATAATCTGGAGGGTTTTTAGATAAAGATTGTTTGAATTAGTTTAGCTTTACTGTCGGTGTGATGTTGACCACATTACCCATCGAGTTCTGACTGGTCTACCAATATACCTCTAGCCATGACCTACTTTAGATCCAAAACACTATATTCTTAATCAAGCCCGGCTGTAGAATTTTATAGGCCAAACAGGTCAACGGAAATTCCCGTTTTGTGAAAGTCCGAGGGACCGGTATGTTTCATGTTTTTTATTGAGTTGGCTGGTCTGAGTTCACGATTTGTATCGATTGATTTTTACACCAATTAAACTATAGATTATTTAATTTGCAACATATTTTATTGAAATATGTATCATTTTGAAGATAAATAAGTCTGTTATTAAAAATATAACAATAATGGTTCTTACAGACAAAAATAACAGCATTTGCTAGAGTCGACATGAACATAAATATCAGTAATGTGTAGCAATAAACTTAAAGCAACTCCAGCAAAAGTAAAGAAATGTAAAGTTCATGCGCTAACACAACGTTGTGGGCTACAACTTTGAAAATTACGTTTCGGCTAACGAATAAGATTGTGACGAATTGGTAGCCGAGATATCATTGTACTTAAATATTTGAGCCAGTAGTTGAAGCTTACCTTTGTGAGTGTATCCAAATCAGTTTCTATTTCCGAAGGATTGACTGTACTAGTCGAAGGCCGCTTCGATTTTTCTAGATTAGACAATCTCCTAGTCATCATATCAACGTACTTTTTCCTGAGCGTAACAGTAAACCTCGGTTGTTCATGTTCTTTCGCTTTCTCACGCACCTTCTCCTGGTTGTTAACCAACTCTTTTATTTTTATTTGAGTTTGCTGCTGTCGTTTGTGTGACTGGAAAGCAGAAGGAGTCCGTTGCTGGGCTTGTGTATAGGGGGGTAAAATTAGGGGCTTATTTTCGCTTTGCCTACGGCAGCAGTGGGAGGAACAGCAACAGCATGATGACCTCGACATGAATGTGGGTCATTGCAATATAAATAATCTACACTAGAATTGTTGCATTAATTTAGCCTAATGTGATCCATTGTAAAGATACACACACGGTCTTCACGCCATTGCGTAAACTATTAGCGCTTGAACCAGGTGCAAACTGAAAGATCTCATGTTTAGGTTGTGTAAAATAACCAAAATAGTAGGTAAACTGTAGAGCTCAGTCAGCTTTTGCAGATAAGCTCCGGTGTTCACAGTTGGGTTGCGTGGTGTGTAATCTTTCGCTGTGTGAAATTCCCGGTAATGTGCATATTTTTGAAAACTTGCATTTTAAAAATTCTCATTCTTCCGTTCCTCCTCTTCCTCCTCCCCCCCCCCCCTTCCTTCTTATTATTTTTTTTTTTGCTGCTGCTGTTGTTGTTGCTGCTGCTGCTAATACTGCTGCTGCTGCTACTATTACAGTTTCTTCTTCTTCTTCTTCTTCTTCTTCTTCTTCTTCTTCTTCTTCTTCTTCTTCTTCTTCTTCTTCTTCTTCTTCTTCTTCTTCCTCTTTTTTTTTTCTTCTTCTTCTTTTTCTTCTTCTTTTTTTTTATTCTTTTTTTCTTCTTCTTCTTCTTCTTCTTCTTCTTCTTCTTCTTCTTCTTCTTCTTCTTCTTCTTCTTCTTCTTCTTCTTCTTAAAGTTAATGCAGTGTGGCGTCAGTAGTCATGTCTATCCACAGCCTTCTGCCCTGTGTACTTTCAATCACCTCTGACACAGAGGTTCTTTCATGCCATGTAAAAATGTCTAGCATCTTTTATCTTGGTCTCCTTCTGCCTTTCATCCCCTCCAACTTTCCTACAGTTACTCTGTACTCTAGTTTTCTCCTTCTTTTCACTTGACCAAGCGATGTAGAATGTTCTTTTCTGATGTTGGCGATCAGTTCTGTTCGTTGGTCAGTTTCTTTGAAGACATCTTCATTACTCATTTTATATGTCCGGGATATGCTCACCATTCATCTTTAAAACCACATCTCTGCAGCTTCCAAAAAAATTTTCACTGATTTACTAACTGTCCATGATTCACATCCTCATGTCAGTATAGGATTTATATAACTTTTAAGAATTATCTTTCTCGTCTCAATAGACAAAGAAAGATTGTATAAAATATGTTTTCATTTTGTAAAATGCTGCCTTTGCTTGAGCTATTCAACATTTAACTTCCTCAATACATCTACCATTTGATGTTATAAGGGTACCTAAGTACTTTAACATATCAACATGCTTGAGGTTTGTCCCATCTACTTTGATGTTGCTTTTTGGAGGGTCAGTTTTCTTTGTAATTACTACTACTTTTGTTTTTCTGCTGTTCCAAAACTGACACTGACAGCTTAGTTAATGCATGAAAGCTGCATTAGCTTTTAACAAAACCAATAGTTCCTTGTTGTCAGTATTATGGTCGTGTGTGCAGAAGCGGGTGTGATGTAACTACTATTCGGATTCGGCCCGACTGCAACTATTCGGCCGAATAGTCAATTGGTTCACTATTCTGCCCCGAAGCGAATATTCGGTACAGCCCTAATTCAAACTTATACGATTCTTTTTAATTGTCATTACTTTTTTAACCTTTACTTTTTGCTGGTGTATTTTTATTTTCAGTGATCAAAACTATATCGTCAGCATATCGCAGGTTGTTAACAAAATGCCCACCAACTGCTGTTCTTAGCATAGCATGTATTAATCTAATTATTATTTCACTATATACATTAAATAAATCGGGTGATAGTTCTCAGACCTTTACCATCAATGTTCAAGTAATGCTCGCTCAGAGGTTTTGATCATTCACACAGACGGTTCAATGTCAAGAGGTAAAAGAAGTTCTTGGGGCTTCTTAGCAAAAGTTAATGGTCGACGTTTGGTGCAGGAGAGCCTAGCATATGATACCACAATATCCAGCTTAAGAATGGAGGTGGAGGCGGTCACTGCAGCTTTCCGTTGGCTAGAGAACACGACACAACACACATCGTGATTGTAACTGATTCAGAAAGTATGCTGATGAAGATCAGAACAGGTATGCTTCGTACAGAGGGGCATGCTTCGCTGCGGAGGACACGGATGAGGAATATTGTCTGTATTTTTTCACCGGGGCACGCCGGTGTGTTGGGAAATAAACAGTCGGACAGACTGGCTGGCTCTGCACAACTTGTTGGGAGAGCGTGTACAGTTCGGAGGAGCAGTTGGATCACCACAGTCTGGTGAGGTTGATACCGCGGGGAGTGACGAGAGGTTCTGGCAGATGCTCGAGGCTCAGAGGAAAGGCAAGACGGACGTTTAATCAGAATGCTACTGGCACCATTAGCATCGGAACTCTCCACTGGCTGCTGAAGATGGGGACGGAGCGCTTAAGGGAATGCCCCGAGTGCTGTGATGTCGGTCCTTGAATCACATCAATCAATCAATGTTCAAGGTTTCAAATTTTTTTATAATTTATCCATGTTTCTCTTTCTCTTTCTTTCTTTATCTATTACTATTTAGAAGAATAATATTACATAACTGCAAATATTTGCAGAGATAAATTATATAATCTGATTATCCCAATTATTTAAAAAGTACACTTGAAATATTTTAAATTTAGAAATCTATACGTTTTTTTTTTTTACCTCTCCTCTTTTCGGTTTTTTTTTTTCTGGGGGGATTAACATCTCGTGAATGAAAATGATGAATTTCGAATGTTGAACTAAAAATCGACATCACAGCACTCAGGACACTCAGGTTGAACAGGGTTTCTATTGCCTGTCCCCAAGTGATTCTCATCAGAGTGGTGGTACTTTGTGCCACCAGGTGTTAGTCGGTCAATCAATTAATTACTGACAATGCCGCTTTTTCCCCTTAAAAATTACATTGGCTCCTTAAATTTATACCAGGTATGGTCCTGGCCAGTAAAGGCGACCGGCGTGATGTTGATAACATCACCCACCAAGTGCCGATTGGTATATAAAATATAGGACTAGCCCTTTGTGCCCAATATGCTTCAAGGCGTAAAAAGGGGTCCTTTACTTTACTTTTACAGTATTACCAATTTATAATACTCTCCTTCTTCTTAGTCACATTCTTCGGCTGTAAACTCCGACTGACAGTTTTGTTTGTTCGACTATTTCTGAACTGTATTGTATAACTGTTCCAGAACTAAGGTTTCGCGTGCACATCAGGTTTATAGATTTGGCTCATTTATTTGACGACTGTTGGTTCCCTAACTCGCAAGCAGATGCATTCTGACTTCGAAGGAAATCTCTAATTAGCCGACTCCTACGACATGCTTGTAAATGAGGCAGTTGGTCCACTGCCATCTTAACACTTCGGCCCCTGTGTACTTTCACGGGAGCCCGACGAGCATAGAGACTCCATGCGAATATATGTATATCAAGAGATTTGCCATATAACAAACTCGTAGTATTTTTCTACTGTGCCATATAATATATGTTTATGCTTTAACACCTGTTTTGTTAAAGTACCAACAGTTCATAGTAACGTCGATAACATCGACCAATCATATTTCCTTTCTGTGAACAGCTGTCCTAAAGGCCCCAGCGCACTGGTTTTCACAGGGACCCACATTGTTGTTAAGACGGCTCCGAGTCCCGCCCCCCCCCCCCCCCTTTTCCCCCAATAACAATAAATTATGAAGAAATTGAAAAAGTCACAAACTTTGAATATCTAGGCTCTTTAATATACAACAATGGAGACTGTTCAACAGAAATTAAAAGGAGGATGGCCATAGCAATGCAAAGATTGAACAGCCTTAAAAGTCTATGGTTAAGCACCAGCAAGGAGATACAAATTAGAATTTTGAGAGCATGCATCTTCCCTGTGGCTACATACGGATGTGAGTCGTGGACTATCTCTCAGTCCTTAAGAAAGAGAATAGGGGCTTTTGAGCTGAAATGCTATAGAAAGATTCTCAGAATATCTTGGACAAAGAAGGTGAGAAATATTGACATCTTAAAAGATATGAACATCAAGGAAGATTGGCTAATAAACAGCATCCTATCTCTGAAGCTGAAATATTTTGGTCATATCAAGCGCCACGACGGATTGGAAAAAAAATTATAGCAGAAGGCATGGTACCAGGAAGGAGGGGCAGAAGCCGACCGACACGAAGATGGGCACAGGATATAAGTGACTCCTTGAGTTTGAAAGTTCATGAGGCGGGGGAACTGGCAAGAGGCCGAGTTTCTTACAGGCAGACTGTGATGAGAGCTACGTTCTGCAAAGGACCTGCTACATGATGATGATGTAGTTGTTTAGTTTAATTATATATTCGTTTGCCATACATCACTGACACGTACTCGACATAAGTTATTTCATTTGATTGGATAGAACGTTAGCCTACGGACATAAACAGCAACACGAAGCTATTTCAAATAGTTTTGGGAGTGTTGACGAGGCCTCGGCTAAGCAATATTTTCATAAACACACAATGTATTTCATGTGGTGCTGGAAATCGTTGTAGTTATTTAATCAGGGGTATTTCAACCTTCACATATATATTTTCAACCTTTCTGGGTTATAACTGGGATACTGTGACTTTCCAAATACTGAATTGTGTGTGTGTACATTCGCCACATTAACCAAAACAACATATAAGAGTAGACAAGACGAGAAAGGAACTCTTTGATTTGTGAGTTCTAAATAATCGTTTTGAAATGGCGGCGTCTTGTATTCGTGCAAATGGGCTGATCGGTAAGTTAGAATTAATCTATGTAGTAATATAAACATAACACGCTTTTAAAAACCATACTGGTGAAAAAGGCTGAAGGCAAAAGTTTGGCAGCGATACACGTGGGAGAATAATATCAAGTGGGACGGGAAGAAGTCTAAGAGGGTGTACAACACATACCATGAAGTATGATGAAGAGAGTTGCAGGCTACTGAGTAGCCGCTACTCATAGATAGTAGCTAGTTAGTACTCATACCTCTCAGTAGCTGCAAAGAACCACCGTATGAAACTTTAGCTGCAGGTAAGGGCCAGAGGCTGAAAAGGGGAAATCGGTATGGCTCAAGCAGAAAACACAATAGGACAAGTATGGGCTATCCTCCGAATAACGGCCACATATTGTCACTTGTGGCGGCCACAAAAACACCCTAACAGGGCCTCAGACACAAGGTAAATTACAGACTTCCGGCTACTTATATTGCGCACTTCCGGCGACTACCGCCACCGCCGAGAGTATCTTCCACGCCGCTACACGCGGCATGGATTGGGGCTAAACTAGATGGCTGGGACTCACGAGCAGCAGCTCCTGCATCTCCTGCAGCCATCTAGTTTAGCCCCAATCCAAGCCGCACATAGCGGCGTGGGAGATACTCTCTGCGGTGGCAGTATAGTCGCCGGAAGTTCGCAATTTACATGTGACTGAGGCCCTGTTTTTGGCCGCCACAATGTGTGGCCATTATTCGGAGGATAGCCCAAGTATGCATGCTGGAGGACATTAGGCGAAGAAAGAAGTGGGTCATAGTACTAGAGGAAAAGTCTGACCTATTATGTAGGGTTACAGTTATGATCACACATAGGGCTGGGAGTGCAGAGAGTGGCCAGCATATGCTACAGAGGTGGAAGTCCAATAGTTGATTCATGACAATTCTCACCAAGATGATCTGATTATCTATACAGATGGTTCAGTGTTGAGAGGGAAGAGAAGTACCTGGGGATTCCTAGTGAAAGCCAATGGAAAATCTTTAGTGCAGAACTGCCTAGCATACGATACCAAACATTTAGCATGAGAATGGAGTTGGAGGCAGTAACTGCATTTTTCCGATAGCTAGAGAACAAGATGCACTCACATGTCTTCCTTCGAAGTCGGAGTACCTGCCCATGAGGCAGGGAAATGAAAAACAGTTGTACACGCAAAAATCAGGTCCAGGTGAAAGCCAAAAGTCCAAGCGGACGATTAACCTGGTCCTTCCACTGGAATTCACAGCCGGTGATCGATAAAAAAAAATAAAAAAAAACTCACATGTCGTAATTGTAACAGACTCTGAATAAGTGCTGAGTAAGGTGAAGACAGGGATGCTTTGAGCAGAATGGCAAACTTCAACGGGAAGGTCACGGGTAGTGGGCATACTTTGTATCTTTTCTCCAGGTATGTCAGCGTGGTGATGAATAAACAGGCAGACAGATTTGCTAGATCTGCACCACTGGGTGGTGAATTGGTGCATAACAAGGCAGATGTGGTCAGGGCCCTTCGGGAACAACCAACGGAGTCAGAAGCGAAACAAGATTATTATGGTCTGGAGAGAATGAGTCACCTGGGTGTAACGAGAGGGTCTGGCCGGTTCAATCCACTCAGAGGAAACGCAAGATGGACATATAACCAGATTACGACCGGTACCATTAGTATTAAAACTCTACGCTGGCTGCTGAAGATGAGGACGGAGCACACATAGGAATGCCTCAAGTTTTGTGACGTCCATTTTTGACTCAGCTTAACTCAAGAGACAGAGGGTGTTGGAGATCTACTGTAGCCACCTTCGTAGAGACGGTACCTGACAGATTGATTGGTGTAGTATTAGAAAATGATGAAACATTCACCATGCTACTTTAATTTTAATTTGTTCCTTCTGAGAGTTATAACTCTGTTTGAAGTGTTTAGGTCAATAAAACATATTAGCCTGGCGGCCACTCGAACATCATCATCAGCAGCCAACTCGACACGGTCAGGTCATACAATATGGCCCCATTGTGGGGAAAACAAGAATAGACCCACTGCCTCCCCAAAAGCATGTCGTAAGAGTCGACTAATTGGGAAGCTTCCTTTGAAGTCGGAGTGCATCTGCCGGAGAGGCAAGGAACCAACAGTCTGTATTCAAGAAAATGAGATCTGTAAAACTGATGCACACGCAACACTCAGGTTCTGGAGCAGGACTGCAGTTCAGTAGTGGACGAGCAACCAGAACCTTCCGCCAGAGTTTACAGCTGGTGAACGTGAAGAAGAATGAAGAAGAAGATACAATATGGTCCATCGGTCAGTACTGCAAAACCACGACCTCCTGCAAACCATTGTAGGTACCTGGTCGGGGCGGTTTTCTTGTGCTGGCAAGGATGTGAGTTTCAGTGAACTGCCCTTAGAGGAGAGAGAACTCTGCAAAACACTCCACTTGGTGATATGTTTCGATAACTGGTTGAGAGAAAAGTGTGTATTGTACTTCTCTGTCTGAGTTCAGTGTCTCTATCTGACCCCATTCAGTTCATATAAAAAAAATTATTTTATAATAAAGTAAAAAATAATTAACTGGTGGACACTAACCCTTTTCAGTGTTTTTGTTTCAGGTCTAAATAATTAAATGTCTTGAACGTCAGTGTCATTAGATCAGTATTATAGTTTTGTGAATTTATATCAGCTGACTAGCACCCTTTTGGCTGCTTTACCTCTTTGGTGGAAAACCAGTGCAAATTTAGAAGTGGATAATAGGAGGACTCGGCGCTACCTGTTTCGCAAGTCTGCAGAGCCACCCTTTCGAAGGTCTTCTTCTTCACTTCCTCTTTTACTGCTTGAGGTGTCGCGGGAGTTATAAGGTTCAGCTTCTTGCTTTTCTGGCCGCTTTGTCCATAGACTTGATAGACACACTGTGTTGTAGAGTTCCTCCGGTGTTATCTTCTCGTCTTGTTCCACATAAGGTGGGGCCCATTTGTTGAGGCACAGGCCTAGGCATTGTCCACTCATATCTTTGTTAGAATGCCACCATTTTAAAAGAAGAAAATTATCTGCCAGAGAAATTTGAACCCTGGTATGCAGAGAATTGTGAAATACATGGATATCTGTGAGGCTAATCAATCTGTTGCTTGAGCATATGTCAGTTTTCTTATCTCATGCTGTCTAAAAAAAAAATTTATATTGCACTGTTGATATCTCCAGACTGTGACTGGGAACTAGTCTCCCTTCTGGCAGTAAGCATTGATTTAACTTTTGCCTCATCTGCTGTTCCATTTGGCTGCCCACTACTTATTTATTTGCATTTCTTTATAGTATCAGGGCATTCTTGTCAGATTTCCAAGCCAGTGAATCTATTGCTCTTTTATGAACTGTATGACTGGTTTCATTTGTAGTCTTCTTTCTGTGTGGATTACTGGGTCTCGTTGGGGAAAGAGGTGGGGGGGGGGGTGGTATTGTAACTAGACTCACCTACCTCCTAGCAAGCATGTCCTAGGAGACAACTAATTATGAGTGTTTCTTTCAAAGTACATCTGCCTGAGAGTCAAGAAACCAATTACTTTTTACTCCGGCAGCCATGCTAAGACACCTCTTTTATGTTGTTATGATTTTCATCTAATTAATTGTTATAAATATTGCTGTGCTTTTATTAAGATTTCAATATTTATTCATTCTCCTTTACAGGTAAATGTAAGATCCCATTTGTATGTACAGTTCAGCGATGGACTGCGACTCAGGCTGCAATGAGAACTCTCTTAGATCGAGAACTTGAAGGCATTCAGGATGCAGGAACATACAAGTCAGAACGTATTATCACCTCTAAACAGGGACCTTTGATTCGTGTGCAAGGCAGGCAAGAAGACATACTAAACTTCTGTGCAAACAACTACTTAGGATTATCAGTAAGTTTTGTTTTTTGTCAAGGAGTGGCTGGCTGAACAGTTAAGAACGCTGGGCTCTCATGCAGGAAACCAAGGTTTGAATCCTATATAAGATTCTAGATTATTATTTTTTTCGTAGTCACAAATAAATCATAACCGGCACTAGCCATGTGACCCTAAATCCTCAGGCTGAAAGACTCCCCCACCATTTGCTTACATCTCACTCACAAATGGCAAATACATTGAGTAATATCATTTTGGGGGGGGGGGGAGTTTTTTTTTTTTAATTCTATAAATTTCCTTGAAAAGGAAAAGGTAGTGATAAGTGTAATATTTAGGCTATGTTTAAAGACAGAGATTCTCATTATTCTAGAGGGTTAAAGGCTAGCAAGCAAGTGTTAGACAGCAAGTCAAGGAAAGGTATAACATCAAGAGATGAACAGGACTCAGAAATTAAAACCAGAGACAGAATATTGCAGATTTTTTTAAGACTAGCTTTGTTGTGACTAGGTGAACTCTCTGTCACTACTCATTCCCTCTATTGCCTACAAGGCAAACTAGATTGAAGAAACCTTAAAAACTGTGAACAAGGAAATGTGCCTCCTATATTATCTGTGTAAATATGCCTCATATATTATCTATGTATGTATGTATTGTATTGGTATATAATTGGTAAATTTAGCATGATTCTCCAAATACTCTTCTGCACTGTGTAGAAATTCCAAGCTTTTTCAGTAACAAGTGGCACAACTGTAACCGTTTTTAAATAGCTTCCAAAGACTGTTGTGTCATGGAATCCCTCAGTTCTGAAGGCGAGAGCCCCATTCGCATCCACAAATGTTTGAAGAATGTGTATGGAGATTCAGCAGTCGCACCCATTGCCACTGCCCTCCAAGACGTGGAACCATACACCCTGGGCTTTTTTCTTGAAAAAAAAGTTGCACATACTCATCAAATAAAGTGTATAAAAAGGAGTCAGTGTTCGCCATAAAGAGTCTATTACAGTAGCAGTGACGATGCAGATTAGATCCAGAGACTGTTAGTCCTGCAGGTAAGCATCTAGTCATGTGCACAACCACAGCTTTCCTTATCCCATAAAAAACGGTCATTAAAAATTCTTCATTTTCTTAGAGAGCTCAGAGTATCTTTTTTTGAAGTTAAATCATATAAGTGTTATCCTCTTCAGAGTCACCCGGCTGTTGTGGAGGCAGGCAAGAAGGCATTTGAAACACATGGAGCAGGCTTAAGCTCGGTGCGATTTATTTGTGGAACACAGGTAATTTATGTTGTCTGTTCATTTGTTCTTCATCATCTCATTGTGCCATTACATGTCACATAGAACTCACAGTTTATTATTACGTGGATCTGTATTTATCATATTCAGCGTCAGATTCATCATTCTCACAGCCAGACACCAGTCTTCATTTATCTATCCTCTGACTTAAGTAGTGAGTTCATCATTACAGACAGAAACTGGATGCCGCAGCCAGGCTTCATCATTAATCATTTCCACAACAGTTTTGTACTATGTATACCACTTGATGTAGTGCAAGAGATAAACATTGATCCCTATTAACTGGTCTCATCAATTCAGCCGTCTCAGTAACACTTTTCCCAAATTTAAAACAGAATTTGATGTTCACATTTTGCTTCATACTATATTGTAACCAACATTTCTCACTCACTAAACAACATAGTGGGTTACTTGTTATCTGCTGACTGGGCGGTGTTACAGTTTGGCCAAATCATAGATGAATGGTGTCTGTTTAGATAACACTGTTTGTAGGGTTACTTGTTATCTGCTGACTGGGCGGTGTTACAGTTTGGCAGAATCATAGATGAATGGTGCCTGTTTAGATGACACTGTTTGTAGGGTTACTTGTTATCTGCTGACTGGGCGGTGTTACAGTTTGGCCAAATCATAGATGAATGGTGTCTGTTTAGATGACTCTGTTTGTAGAGTTACTTGTTATCTTCTGACTGGGCGGTGTTACAGTTTGGCCAAATCATAGATGAATGGTGTCTGTTTAGATGACACTGTTTGTAGAGTTACTTGTTATCTGCTGACTGGGCGGTGTTACAGTTTGGCCAAATCATAGATGAATGGTGTCTGTTTAGATGACACTGTTTGTGGGGTTACTTGTTATCTGCTGACTGGGCGGTGTTACAGTTTGGCCAAATCATAGATGAATGGTGTCTGTTTAGATGACTCTGTTTGTAGAGTTACTTGTTATCTTCTGACTGGGCGGTGTTACAGTTTGGCCAAATCATAGATGAATGGTGTCTGTTTAGATGACACTGTTTGTAGAGTTACTTGTTATCTGCTGACTGGGCGGTGTTACAGTTTGGCCAAATCATAGATGAATGGTGTCTGTTTAGATGACACTGTTTGTGGGGTTACTTGTTATCTGCTGACTGGGCGGTGTTACAGTTTGGCCAAATCATAGATGAATGGTGTCTGTTTAGATGACACTGTTTGTAGGGTTACTTGTTATCTGCTGACTGGGCGGTGTTACAGTTTGGCCAAATCATAGATGAATGGTGTCTGTTTAGATGACACTGTTTGTAGGGTTACTTGTTATCTTCTGACTGGGCGGTGTTACAGTTTGGCCAAATCATAGATGAATGGTGCCTGTTTAGATGACACTGTTTGTAGGGTTACTTGTTATCTGCTGACTGGGCGGTGTTACAGTTTGGCCAAATCATAGATGTATGGTGTCTGTTTAGATGACACTGTTTGTGGGGTTACTTGTTATCTGCTGACTCAGCGGTGTTACAGTTTGGCCAAATCATAGATGAATGGTGTCTGTTTAGATGACACTGTTTGTGGGGTTACTTGTTATCTGCTGACTGGGCGGTGTTACAGTTTGGCAGAATCATAGATGTATGGTGTCTGTTTAGATGACACTGTTTGCATCATGAATCATGATTAGTATTGGCCATAATAAAATGGTTCATGATTAATACTGGCCATAATAAAATGGTTCATGATTAGTACTGACCATTAAAAAGCATGTTTCATGATTAGTACTGGCCATAATAAAATGGTTCATGATTAATACTGGCCATAATAAAATGGTTCATGATTAGTACTGACCATTAAAAAGCATGTTTCATGATTAGTACTGGCCATAATAAAATGGTTCATGATTAATACTGGCCATAATAAAATGGTTCATGATTAGTACTGACCATTAAAAAGCATGTTTCATGATTAGTACTGGCCATAATAAAATGGTTCATGATTAATACTGGCCATAATAAAATGGTTCATGATTAGTATTGGCCATAATAAAATGGTTCATGATTAATACTGGCCATAATAAAATGGTTCATGATTAGTACTGACCATTAAAAAGCATGGTTCATGATTAGTACTGGCCATAATAAAATCCTGGGTCATGATTATTACTGACCATAATAAAATCATGGTTCATGATAAGTACTGGCCATAATAAAATCATGGCTCATGATTAGTACTGGCCATAATAAAATCATGGGTTATGATGCACTGGTGAGCTTCAGAGAGCAAGGTTTTATTATTTAAGGGTAACTGACAGACTTCTGGTGGATTGGTTGCTAAAGGTAGTCCCTTAGAAGACACTGTTGTTATGAGGTGAATTGTTAGGTCTCTGTATATTCTAGGTCATGATTAGAGGGAAAGTGGCAGTTCTCAATTGTGGAAGTTGATGCAAATTTTAAAAATGCAAACTGTCAAAACAGACAGACAAGGTCTTTTGGAAGCCAATGAATGGTGAGGAGACACAGATTATCAGGGTCTGAAGAGAATGGTGCAGTTGGCAGTGACCAGGGGATCCAGCCAACGCTTCAAACCCTGAGGAAAAGCAAGGTGGAAATACAGTCAAACTGCTACTGGTACCATCGGAGTAAGAACTCTTCACTGGCTGCTGAAGATGGGGACAGAGCGATTATGAGAATGAGCTGAGGTGTTCTCCAAACTCAAGTACTTTTATAAGGCATAGTCAACACCAGAGCTGTAGTGGTTCAAACAAAATCCTGAGGCTTTGTGGAATTGAACCAGAACCACTGTTTCGGCAGGCAGACATGTTAACCACCGTCGGAGTCTGTACAGAATAAGTTCCGTTTGACTGTGTGTATGTTTTGTTTTTGTTTTAAAGGACATTCACAAGGATCTGGAGGAAAAGATTGCAAAATTCCATGGAAAAGAAGATGCCATCTTGTACATCAGCTGCTTCGACGCTAACGCTGGATTATTTGAAGTCTTACTAAGTCCTGAGGACGCTGTCCTTTCGGATGAACTCAATCATGCTTCCATCATTGATGGCATCAGGCTGTGTAAGGCCAAGAGGTTTCGGTACAAGCATAGGGATATGGCAGGTGACTTATTTCTACCTCTTTGTTTTATGCAATGTTTGGAAATTATCTTTACTGTATTTGTTCTTTTCAGAAGGTTCCTGATTTGTTCCACATTATAGGGAAGCTCGCCCATTATTTATAATTCTTTAAAAAGTCTGATGCTCTATTCAACAGTTAATGTTGGCTGCAGTGGATCTTCATGTTTTGATAAAACTGGTATTGTCTGTTTTCTTATATGGATGTGAGAGTTGACTCTCACTGTGGAAATGGAAAGGAGGATTCAGGCTTTCGAATGTAAATGTCACAGACGCATTTTGTAAATGAATTCTTTAGAACACAAAACAGCTCTCCTTTAAATAACGGTCGCTAGCTGGAAGGCGACAGTCGCTTAGTCGGAGTTCACTCCCTTGGCTGCAGTGCAAATACGTAGTGGTAAAGAGGGAACGAAAGAAATGACATACTTACCTGTCATGCTACGGTTGCTTAGGGTTAGGCTAGGCTTAGGGTTTGGGTTAGGGTAACACATGTAGCGTCGAGTACTTACTCATAAAAACGGCCGCTATATGTGAAAATTTTCTTGTTTTTGATTCGTGACTTGTCCACTCCGTATTTGCACTGCAGCCAAGGAAGTGAACTCCGACTAAGCGACCGTCACCTTCCAGCTAGCGACCGTTATTTAAAGGAGAGCCCACAAAACCTATCAATATGTCAGAGACAGAATGTACAAATTTGGAGAATATCAGGAGCCTCTCTTGGCAATGAAGAAACTTCGCAAGCTAGCTTGGTTCGGACACATGGTGAGACATTATTCGATTGCAAAGACTGGACTTCAGGGAGCATTGGGGGGAAGTTGAAGAAGAGGAGGGCAAAGAAGAACCTGGAATGACAACATCAAGAAATGGACAGGGCTTAGTTATCAGACACTTATTCATCAAATGGAAGTCAGAGAAAGATGGCGGGTTTTGTGTGTTAGTGCTTCCATGGAAACACCTCCATGACCCTAAGGGGTCAAGGGCTATGTGATGTAATACTGTTGCTATCTGTGTCTTGCTCATTGCAAGTGTGCTTACTTCTGAAAATATCTTGTTACAATCCAGTTTGGGGTGATTTGGCAGCACACTGAGTTGGCAGTCGATACCACTGTCACAATAAGTATAAATCAGTGTGCTGCCAAATCACCCCGATTAGTACTTATTGTGACAGTAGTATCGATTGCAAATCACTCAGAAAGTAATGAATGTAAAATTGTCTAGCAATATCATAGACAACCAAAAAAGGTTGTTGTTGGTTCTGCAGCATCCTGTAAAGGATGCATCTTCTTCTTCTTCTTCTGCCTTTCTATCCCCCAATGGAGCATAGGCCCTCAACCAACTCACTCCAAGTCGTTCTATCCTTCGCCATTGCATGGAGCTCTCCCCATGTCCTCCCAATCTTTCTAACCTCATTCTCCAGCTCTCTTCTCCATGTGTTTTTTGGCCTTCCTTTATTCCTATGCCCCTGTGGGTTCCAATGCAAAGACATTCTAGTTATGCTGTTCTCCTGTTTTCTAAGTGTGTGCCCTACCCAACGCCAGCGTCTTTTCCTCACCTCCTGATCCACTGGAGCCTGTTTAGTTCTCTCCCAAAGTTCTACATTAGTTATTCTATCATACCATTTTATTCCCTCTATTTTGCGCAGGCACCAGTTAATGAATGTCTGTAATTTATTAGTAATTGCCTTGGTTGTTCTCCATGTTTCCGCCCCATACAATAGTACTGATTTGACATTAGAATTAAAAAATTTTTAGTTTAGTATTTCTTTTAATTTATTTTGACCTCCACAAATTCCCTAGTGCTATGAAAGCCCCTCTTGCCTTTTGTATTCTCATTTTAATATCTCTATCACTTCCTCCATCTTTATCTACATTACTGCCTAAATAGGTGTACGACTCCACGTCTTGGAGTGGGGTGCCATTAAGAGAAACCACATTACTATTTGCCTGATTTATTCTTTCCTTTATGGATTTTCAGACCAAGCTGCTGTGATCTCGCATTAAGTATATTTAATTTATCTTGTATCTGATTCCGTGAATAACTATCTTATAATACCATTCAGTTGACTTTTCTTCAAAAATGACCTTGGCTCCCAGGTCGACCCAGCCTTGAGTGGGTACCGGGTGCAATCCCGGGAAGTAGAGGCGGCCGGCGTGATGCTGACCACATCACCCATCTTGTGCCGTTGGTCTATAAAAATATAGGTCTAGCCCTATATGCCCTATACGCCTAAACGCGTGGAAAGGGTCCTTTACTTTACTTTACTTTTTACCATTCAGTTGAATTCTCTGTGTCTACAATTGTGCAGTTTTTGAATATTTCATTTTGCCCATTTGCTGGCCTAGTCCATAGGGAAAGCAAAGAATACTAACATTGTAACCTACGGTGTATGCTGTTAGGGGAATCTGGAGATTTATATAAATAATGCATACACAGACAATGCATTGTTGCTAAGCATATATAGCTGTATCTGGCTAGGTGCATTACTGCAGAGTTATGACATATAATGTAGCACACACAAACACAGAAATCCCTTTTATAAAGGGCAAACTGTCAAAAGAAAAAAACAAGGCCCTTTGAGAGCAAGTGAAAAGTGCAGAGGCACAATTAGATTATCACGGTCTAAAGAGAATGGTGCAACTAGGAGTGACCAATGGAATACACATCATATGGTCTCTCTCAATAAATTGTTTGTATAGTCGCCAGAATTTCCTGATAGTCACTTGACTGTCCTAGGGCAACTTCAAATTTGGCATCTGAGAATGTTTACAATGAAGTGCTACTTCATCCTATAAAAAAAAACCATAACTGCAAAATCCTGTCAGTTTTGACACAACTAAAACTAGTGTTTGGGTGAGTTAGTTCAAGAGCTAATAAACTACAAACATTCATTAACTGGAGCCTGTGCTGAAAAGAGGGATTTAAATGTTATGATAGAATCACGAATGTTGAACTTTTGGGGGAGAATTAAACAAGTTCCAATGGACCAAGAGGTAAAGAAAGGTGTGAATAGAACACATGTATAAAGAAGTTACCTAATCTTTGCAGTGTTATGAGGAAACAATAAACATAGGGCTGTGTTTATCTTTAGATCAGTTTAGACCAGAAGGTAGGAATCTAATGAGGTGTTGATTCCTTAAAATAAATTTTAGCCAAAAAGTCTTGGCTTGTCTTGGGGAAATTATGTCTTTGCTCACTCTTAAATAAGGTGTTAATAGTCAGTGGAATTCTGATTTGACATTGAATACTTTTACCCCACTATCTACAACTTTTAATTTCTGGCTTAGATCTAGAGGCTAATCTTGTCCAGGCTAAGGATTGTCGGCAGCGTTTGATTGCGACAGACGGGGTATTTAGCATGGACGGCAATGTTGCTCCACTCAGGTAAACAAATATTCATTTATTTTAACTTATCACTTGTAACAGGTCCATATCGGTAAAAGTTGTAGAAGATGTTCTGTGTGTGTATGTGTATATATTTAGTGCATGTTTCCACAAATCTAGGCCTGATCAAATTGTGATAGACCTAATTTAAAAAAAAAAAAAAATCAACAATCAGTTGGTGACATGGTTAAAATCATACCTGCTGCCTTTACTTCCCAGGATGGTTATGTTATCCATTTTGCACTGGGTCATCCTGGAGGCCCAGGTCAGTGTGGGGACAACAGTCTACCTTTATGGGATTCTAACATCACTACTGTGTAGGACCTGTGGGCTAAACAAGGCAGTTTGATATGCAGCACAAATGTCCGTCTCTTCACCATTATGACTTCCAGTTCCTATAGAAATAGGAGCAGTCATGAAGTATTTTTTTAGTTCTAAAATACTCCAAGCCTATTATTATTTCTCATGGTAGTTTTTCGCTTAACTTAGAATTTTCTCTTTATAATTATGTTAGTATTAGCGAAAAGACTGTTAACAGGCAGTTCAAAGTTCAAGAGCTGTTGCCTCACTTGGTTTGAAGTAGTTAACATGATGCAGACCTAACAGAAGGGTCTGGTGTACTGTTAGTCAGATGGAGATTTTCTCCTAAATTACATGTTGATGAAAACATAGTTTGTTCTGCTGTTATGCAGGGAATTGTAAAACAGGCAGTAGATCTGAATGAAGAGAGATCTGACACGTGTTAATTGTGTTCCAGTCAATGACAGTTTAGAATCACATAATGTCTTTCGTATTGTCATTATATCGGTTGCACTGTTTATGTGAATAAAACAACCGGAATTAAATCTAGATTAAAAAATACATGACAGTTGTGTGACATATTTCAGCTGATTCATATTCAAGCATGCCCAATCATGGGAAGTACCTCACCAGTCCATACTGGGAACAAAACTAAATCACTTTATGTAACCTATAGTGGGTTCCTCCACAGAAAGCCACGATGGACATGGATGAGAAGTTACCAGTTTGAAATCGTGAATCACCATTATTACTCAGAATAGGCAAATAAAAGATATTCAACAGAAATACCCAGTAGGAATTAAAGTAGGACTATCATAATTAAAGATAACCAGATTAGGATCTCAGTTATAACTTAGAAGCTTATTTAAGCTGATTGATCGGTTTTTTTTTCTGAAATGACTGACCAGCTTTATTGTTATGAGTTGTTATTGTGGTTTGCTGAAAGTTTTCAGTACTTGGCAGTCTCACGGATTACTTTGTAACTGTACTTGATTGAAAATCATAACCCCTAGGACGTTACTCATAAGTGGATACTTGTCGGGAGTCAACATTTATTCCACAACACATTTATACAGCATCAGTGAGTTGCCATCACAGGTGATAATGCACAATCGAAGCTCTTAAACATAATCACTATATACCTTTCTCAACAGCAGTGTATATTTCTCAACTTCCGACTTGAGAATTCCTGAACCTTCATTAATGAAAAGTAAGTTTGCCATGATTTATCCTTAATTTTCTGTCATTCCCTTTGTGTGTCATTGTCATACTGTAGAATGTTTCCTTCTGACATGGAAAACAAAATAAAACGTGGTTGATTATATTTTCAGGGATATATGTGATCTGGCAGATAAACATCAGGCGTTAGTTTTTGTAGATGAATGCCATTCGACAGGATTCTTCGGTCTTACTGGCAGGTGGGTGGGCCAGTGTTGGCAGTTGTTTTAGTTTTTATACTTATTTGTGCTGAAATTAGGTTACTGTAATGCAACTCTCTCTCTCTCTCTCTCTCTCTCTTTCTCTCTCTCTCTTTCTCTCTCTCTCTTTTTGTCTTCTTCTTTGCTCTTCTCTTACCTCTTCTTTTCTGCTGTTCTTTTCTTGCCTTTTCTCTCATTCACCTCTTTTTTGCTGTTGTCTTCTGTCCTTTATTTTTCTTCTCTCCTGTTCTCTCAATCTATCTGTTTTCCCCCACCACTCCTCTTTTTTCTTTCATTTTTTTTTAATGAAAGATGGACCTGCATACCATATTTCTGACCCTTTAAAAATACTTTGTTTGCTCCCTTTCCATCTTCCCTTATCTGTTTTGCTCCTGTCTTCTTTTTTTTTCCCTCACATCTCTCTCTCTCTCTCTCTCTCTCTCTCTCTCTCTCTCTCTCTCTCTCTCTCTCTCTCTCTCTCTCTCTCTCTCTCTCTCTCTCTCTCTCTCTCTCTCAGGCGAAGATGGCCTGCGTGCCCAGCTTGTGACCCTTTGAAATGTGTTTGCTGTCTCTTTCTCTCACCTCTTATTTTATATTGTCTGTTCACCTCTTCTTTCTCTCTGACACTAAATGGAACATGGCCTGCAAGCCCGGCAGTTTATAACCCTCTGAAACTAGTATTTTTGCTCCCCCCCCCCCCCCCTTCTCTTCCTTTTTTTTTTTTTTTTTTTTTGGGTCTTTTCATGCACACACTCAGACACGCAGTTTATGAATGGATGTCTGTATTAAATTTGGATAACCACAACGTTGGATGTTTGTGGTTGGAGATCAATAATAAGGGTTGATATTTTCAGTTCGGAGATATTTTATTTCTACTAATTGATTATATATCATTAGATTGTAGGGGTTACTGAACGCGTTTTAACAGTTTCTTGATACTCCGGTACTATGGTTGGATTTCTGTAATGAAATGGTTTACAAATTTGTTTTGTTGTTTTCTGACATTAAAGCCTCACCATGAAATATTCCCAAATACAGCAGTGGATAGGTACACTGTAAAAGTAAACGTCCCTTTCCATGCCTTTAGGCATATAGGGCTAGACCTATATTTTTACAGACCAATTGGCGCAAGATGGGTGATGTGGTCAGCATCACGCCGGGTAGGTACACTGAGTCTGCCTCAATTATTTAATTTTGATTAATTGTTTACTAGATATGTTTTAATAGAATTAATCCCTGTGAGGGTTACGGGGCCCTATTATGGCCGGGGGGGGGGGGGGGGGTAAGAGTAGACCCACTGCCTACCCAAAAAGCATGTCTTAAGAGTTGACTAATTCTGAGCTTCCTTCGAAGTCGGAGTGGATCTGCCTAAGAGGCAAGGAACCAACAGTCTAAATACAAATGAATCACATCTGTAAAAGGGATGCGTGCGCAGCACTCAGGTTCTGGAATACAGGACTGTAGTCCAGAAGTGGACGAATAACCAGAACTTTCTGCTAGCATTTACAGCTGTTGAACATGAAGAAGAAAAATAAAATGACAATAATTAATTTTTTTTTTTTCTGTTTAAGAGGAACAGAAGAGTACTTCAGCTTGGATGGCCGAGTGGATGTTATCAACTCAACCTTAGGGAAGGCTCTTGGTGGTGCAGCAGGTGTGTGGGTTTTTTTCTTTGTCAGTAAATAGTATATGTTTTCAGCTAATAATCGTCACCATATGTTAACTCTTTCTGACACATACTGTTCGTCTGTGTGACTGACCCAGTCGTGAATGGTCTGTCACAGAAGTCAAACTGTTTTGACACTTCTCCACTCATACACAAACTGTTTTGACACTTCTCCACTCATACACAAACTGTTCTTCTCATACACAAACTGTTCTGACACTTCTCTACTCATACAAACTGTTCTGACACTTCTCCACTCATACACAAACTGTTCTGACTGGCAAGCAGCACTATTCTGGACCTTTGTTTGCCGTTGGATTTCTATAGTTCTCACCACTTAACTGGTTATAAACAGGTTAACCTAATGCTGCTCCTCTTTGGTACATGTCAGAAGTTGGGCAGCCATCTTGAAACTGTCATTATGATTCCACCGTGTTTGTCTGCACTCTGATGTTACATGCTTAACACTCTTCACACCAGCATTTTTTTTACAAGTTATGAGATCGTTCCATATTTTTTGTAATTTCTTCCATCACTCTTTTAAGATTTTTATCTAAAGCCAATATTAACTCTTTATAGCCCAGACAGTTGTTACTTCAACATGTTTAGTTTCAATCTGTAATTTCATGTCTCACATTGTGAAGTCTTGAAAAGAGATGCAACAGTGCAGAGACTAAATAGCATAAAGGACTTATGGCACAGCAGCTGCAAGCGAGTTAAACATTTTGAGGTCATGCGTCTTTCCTGTGGCACTGGGTTGTTCTAATCTGGCCAAGACACTAAAGCACTTTAACCTGGCCAAGACACTAGGGCACTCTGACCTGGTCAAGACACTGGGGCATTCTAACCTGGCCAAGACACTGGGACATTCTAACCTGGGCCAAGACACTGGGACATTCTAACCTGGCCAAGAAGCTGGGACATTCTAACCTGGCCAAGACACTAGGGCACTCTAACCTGGCCAAGACACTAGGGCACTCTAACCAAGCCAAGACACTGGGACATTATAACCTGGCCAAGACACTGGGACATTCAAACCTGGTCAGGACACTGGGGCATTCTCTAACCTTGCCAAAACACTTTGACATTCCAACCTGGCTAGGACACTGGGACATCCTATAAACTGGCAAGACACTGGGACATTCTCTAAACTGGCCAAGACACTAGAGACACTCTAACCTGGCCAAGACACTGGGACATTCAAACCTGGCCAGGACACTGGGGCATTCTCTAACCTTGCCAAAACTTTGACATTCCGACCTGGCTAGGACACTGGGACATACTATAAACTGGCAAGACACTGGGACATTCTCTAACCTGGTCAAGACACTGGAGACATTCTAACCTGGCCAAGACACTGGGACATTTTCTAACCTGGCCAAGACACTGGGACATTCTCTAACCTGGCCAAGACACTGGAGACACTCTAAACTGGCCAAGACACAAGTACATTTTAACCTGGCGAAGACACTGAAGTTTCCTAATGGAAGCAAGACATGGGGCACTCTAATCTAACCAAGACACTATGGTAATCTAATAGGGCACTCTAATCTAACCAAGACACTATGGTACCCTAATCTAATGGGGCACTCTAATCTAACCAAGACACTATGGTACCCTAATCTAATGGGGCACTCTAATCTAACCAAGACACTATGGTACCCTAATCTAATGGGGCACTCTAATCTAACCAAGACACTATGGTACCCTAATCTAATGGGGCACTCTAATCTAACCAAGACACTATGGTAATCTAATGGGGCACTCTAATCTAACCAAGACACTATGGTACCCTAATCTAATGGGGCACTCTAATCTAACCAAGACACTATGGTACCCTAATCTAATGGGGCACTCTAATCTAACCAAGACACTATGGTAATCTAATGGGGCACTCTAATCTAACAAGACACTGGTACCCTAATCTAATGGGGCACTCTAATCAAACCAAGACACTATGGTACCCTAATCTAATGGGGCACTCTAATCTAACCAAGACACTATGGTACCCTAATCTAATGGGGCACTCTAATCTAACCAAGACACTATGGTAATCTAATGGGGCACTCTAATCTAACCAAGACACTGGTACCCTAATCTAATGGGGCACTCTAATCAAACCAAGACACTATGGTACCCTAATCTAATGGGGCACTCTAATCTAACCAAGACACTATGGTACCCTAATCTAATGGGGCACTCTAATCTAACCAAGACACTGGTACCCTAATCTAATGGGGCACTCTAATCTAACCAAGACACTATGGTAATCTAATGGGGCACTCTAATCTAACCAAGACACTATGGTACCCTAATCTAATGGGGCACTCTAATCTAACCAAGACACTGGTACCCTAATCTAATGGGGCACTCTAATCTAACCAAGACACTGGTACCCTAATCTAATGGGGCACTCTAATCTAACCAAGACACTATGGTACACTAATCTAATGGGGCACTCTAATCTAACCAAGACACTGGTACCCTAATCTAATGGGGCACTCTAATCTAACCAAGACACTATGGTAATCTAATGGGGCACTCTAATCTAACCAAGACACTATGGTACCCTAATCTAATGGGGCACTCTAATCTAACCAAGACACTGGTACCCTAATCTAATGGGGCACTCTAATCTAACCAAGACACTGGTACCCTAATCTAATGGGGCACTCTAATCTAACCAAGACACTATGGTACACTAATCTAATGGGGCACTCTAATCTAACCAAGACACTGGTACCCTAATCTAATGGGGCACTCTAATCTAACCAAGACACTATGGTAATCTAATGGGGCACTCTAATCTAACCAAGACACTATGTTACACTAATCTAATGGGGCACTTTAATCAAACCAAGAACACTAGAGCAATTCTAACATGACCAAAACACTGGGACACCTGATCTGACCAAGACAAGAACACAGACCTGATCTATAATTCTGGTAATCGTCTAGGATGGCAGACAGTGACTGTCTACATTTATCAACATGGCACATCATGGTGATTAGTTTTTGTGTTAACCTTTCATGTTTTTGTTCATGCATGACTTAGGTGGCTATACAACAGGACCCAAGCCATTGATTGACCTCCTGAGACAGAGATCCAGGCCATATTTGTTCTCAAATACCTTGCCACCGCCTGTTGTAGCCTGCGCTAGTAAGGTAAGTTTTTCCAAGTCTTGATGTTTTTTTGATATTTTTAGTTGTATTGTCTTGAATCATTTTTTTTTTCTGTCATTTATTGGTTTTTGATGGCAAAATGCAGTTGGAAAATTTTCACTGTGCCAAATAACAGCTTTGGTACTGGTTGCAACTGTAGACGAGGTGGGTATAATTGTACTGAAAAATGTTAAAATATTTTTTAGGGGGAATTAATGTTTGTGTTTGTATCTCATATGTCTACATGACTGCTTGTATTTACCACTTTTGCGGTCTAGGCGTGGTGGGGGGGGGGGGGGTCTTTGAGCCTGAGGATTTAAGGCCACAGCTGTCGCTGCATACTGTGCATGTAAGGATTTGTATTTTTGCTTCAGACAGAAAAATATCTAGAACCTTGCAGAGGATTTGATCCTGGGTTTTCTGCATAAGAGCCCGATGTTCTTAACCATTTGGCTTGACGTACACATGGCCGTATCCACAGAAACACTGTTTTAATTTCAAGGTTTCTTCTACTTCTTTCTTCTTCCTGATCACCAGCTGTAAATTCTGATAGAAAGTTCTGGTTGTTCATCCACTTTTGGACTGCGGTCCTGTTCCAGAACCTGAGTGTTGCATGTGCATCTGTTTTACAGATCTGACTCATTTGTATGCAGACTGCTGGTTCCTTGCCTCTCAGGCAGATGCACTCCGACTTTGAAAGAAGCTCCCAATTAGTCGACTCTTACGGCATGTTTTTGTGTAAGCAGTGGGTCTATTCTTGTTTTCACTATAATCGGGCCCAGGAAACCACACGGGGAAAGTTCAAAATTTAAGAAATCAGTTAAATCTTTGCTGCATTAGTACTGATTACTTCCCCTAATGTAAAGGAAACTACATGTAAAAATAGGAATTTTAACAAAAATTGGTAACTTGGTGGCTTCTATGTCACAGTAGGGAAAAAAAGAATTTATTTATATTTTCTGAATCTATTCTACAGGCTTTAGACCTCATAATGCAAAATGCTGACTTGCCCAGGAAAGTGCTGACAAACACCAGAAGGTTCCGGACACGAATGCTTGATGCTGGTTTTGCTGTTTCTGTAAGTTGTGTTGATTTCATTATTTTTAATCCATTTATTGCTGTGATTAGTAGAGTGTAAAGACATTAAACAGGCATCTGTGTTTAAATATCTGGGAACAACATTCACCGAAGATGTTAAATTAAAATAGAAATTAACATCCAATGCAGTAAAGCAGACCAGTTATTAGGATAGCCAGCTTCCCTTTTAACAACATAATGCAATCCCAGTCAGCACAAAAAAACATTTCATCTAAAGCATATTTATTCCAAACCTGTACTACCAGTGCCAGACATTGGTCGCTCACAACAAACCAGAAAAGAAAATTAGTAACCATGGAAATGAGATGTCAGAGAAGGGCTGCAAGAGTGACTAAAAGAGTAAAATCAGGAATGAGGTCTTAAAAGAAAAATTCCAAATTGCATATAAAGACAGCAAATCAAATGGTTTGCCTCTTAGAAAGAATACCTTTTGATGCCATACCATACAAAATGAAGCCATGCGCATTATTTTGGGATGTACAAGAGACACATCCTGTGGAGCAATGAGGTATCTACTTGACTTTTCAACAGTGAACCAAAGGATCAGGATGTGGAGGGCTCGGGCATACCTTAAAATATGTGCTGATAAGAAACACCCACTGCATCAAGCGCTTTTTAGTGAAAAGGGTGACAGACTGAAGAGGGAAAATCGTGGCTAGGTCGGGCAGAAGATGTTATTAGGCAAATATGCAGCCTAACCGACATCATACCTGGTGCAGAAGGGATACCTGTGCCTCAGGCATTTATTTGTACATTTTCCTGTATTGTCACACTCAACAGGCGATGTAGAGAAGAGAATCCTGTTGCTGTTAATGCAGAGGTCAACGCTCTCATCGGTGAAAATTCAGACGAAGCAGATGCACTAATCTATACAGACGGATCCGTTATACGCCAAAGAAGAAGCTCATGGGCATTCACAGCACGCTCAGCGGGCAGAACAGTCAAAGAAGCCAACGGCGCCTTCTCCATGACAACCAGCAGCAAAGAGCTGATAGGTTGGCTGGATCCGCTATCACTACCGACGGTCAGCCTATGGACCATGCTGATATTATCAATGCCCTCAGAGAAATGGGAAGGATAGAGGACTTTGGTGGCAGTGAATTAAAATCGGCACAGCAAAAAATGAGACGTACACCAGACACGCCAGAAGACTTGTTAATCAACATAGAACTGGTACTATTAGCCATCGGACGTTGGGGTTCATACTGAGGGGAGGATCTGAGCACCTATGGACATGTCCGGAGTGCAATGATGATAACCCAACTAACTAACAGTGTATACACCAAAACAGAAAATGGACAAAGATCATCAGGTAGACCATGAAGAATATAGAAAGATAAAATCAGTAAAACTGTACAGCAGCATGATGGCTGAGGTGACCAGAAAAGCAAGAATCAGTCGGAAAATCAAGAAGCAGAATCTCATTTCTCTCTAGACACCGATGTGGTGCTACAAAAAAACGTGAAGAAGAAAAAAGATTGCTGTGTGTTTCTTGAAAAAAGTAAACCTATGAAAAGAACCACATCGTAAATAAAGTCTGCCATCTTTGGCCACATGAAGAGAAAACTAAGCAACATCCTGGTGGTGCAAAAGTTCGAAGGGAAAACAAACAGTTGGAGACTGACAGAAAAGAGGCTGGAAAGTGACATAATAGCATGGCAGATCATCTGTGTCAGACATGATTCAAAATACATGAGATAGAAGGTTGTGAATACACATGTCTACCAGCGCTTCATGGAATAATCATATCTCTTGCCTATTAGTGATATCCTAATTGTTTACTCTTCTAATGATCCATTAGGGGCAGTGTTAGTGCAGTCGATAAGAGACTCACTTTTCAAGCCCATGCAACTGGCTGCAGCCCATGGCTGGTGTTTGAAACCAGACGGTTTACAGGGTTTACTTAGCCTCTAGGAAATGGGTACCAGTGTTAATACCCTGGGGTAAATGGAGGAACGTCACTAGCTACGGAGTTTCCTGCGGATGGCGACGCAGGCGGACAGTCTCTTATCATGTGTCCTTATTGGTGGCAGAGTACTTATGGTTTATAACTGTGTGCAGTGATGCTGGTTCACATCTGCTGACTTTACAATTTTTGCATTTTTTACTCTCCTTATGTTCTGTTGGTCTTAACCCATTTATTACTGAAAATATATCAAACCAGACAAAAGTAGAGTTAGTCAGTTTCACATTATGAGGTATGTATGTAAATTGTACCCCACCAGGACATCACACAAGCGACAAACACCCAGTGACACATACTGCCACCATGTGGATGTGGATCACCTTTGGAGAGGTCCTGGAAACCCCATTCAGCCGTTATGTCATATTTCAGGCTCGGCTATATTTAGGGCCCCTGGCAAGAGCCAGGGTAGGGTTTCAGAATAACTAAAAATTGCATCCCACCTTGGAATGACGAGATTACACACACATTATGATAATCACAAATGACTAATGAACGTTGCAGCCATAATCATCACATTAAATGAATTGATAGTGTTACAATTGCTAACAAGAATACACAAAATCACTCAGCTGAGATATCTCTGAGAGAAATCAACATGTCTCTCTGACCAGTTGAAGCTCTGCCACATATGTGAACACAGGAAATGAATGCTAGCCACTTTTTCTGTGGTGGGCAGGCGCCGTAATTACCAAAAAAAAATATTGAATAAAGCTGTGTTGCCTGTTATGTCCCTTAGATGATTAGAGCCTGTTAAAAAGATAAATGTGGGGAATGATTGCCCAGACTTTTTATACCTTTGATCTGACAACCTTTGACCTCAGCATGCTTTTTTGTTAAGGATATACTTCCTTAACCCGTGATTCCAATGGCAGAGTCCTTAAGCATCTTGAGAACTTAATTGTGTCTGTGTAAACCAACTTATAGGACAGTCCGAAGAAGCTCAGCACAGGCTCTGTAGCACTGGCGAGGATCCTGAGATATTTTGGATAGATTTTTAACTCCAAATTTTGCCTAGGCGGCGCCGTTAGGCTTCTCTTTTCTATTTCCAACTGCCAAGGGATTTTTTTACATGCACAACAATGCACATGGTCGTCCGATCTCTCTACACAAAAACCAGGGGAAATTACTAAAAGTGCAGGTCCACGGGAAAAATCCCAGCACTTAACGAAATAGGGTGGGTTCCATGGTGTCTGCCTCGAGTGCTAGAGGTTGCAGGTTGTGTAGATCTATGTTCTCTGCAACTCACTTTTAGCACTGTTTTCAGGGTGACGCAGACCATCCCATCTGTCCAGTCATGCTGGGAGATGCCAGACTGGCCGCACAGTTTGCTGATAAAATGCTGGGTAATGTATTTCTTATTCATGTTTATTTGTTTCTGTAAGTAATTAAACACACTATTGCGGGTCGCAGATTGTGGAGCAAGGCACTTGATGATGATGTACTTAAAGTTATAGTTAAAGTCAAGAGGATCAATTTCATTGCCCTGGGTTTTCCCATATGACTCAAGTCTCTTTCTCCACAGAATGGCCAGCTGCCTCCTGCCGATAGCATCCCACAAAGCATGAGCTTCGTAGCTCAAGCAACCATCCTCAAGGATTACTGCAAAAATTGCACTCGGGAACTGATTGATGAGTCTGTGACTTGCAGCACGACTGATTTTTTAAAAAAATTCTTTTATATCTACATTTTTTTTTTTAGTATTCAGTTTTTCTTTACGTCGCTTTACTTCACCCACGTATTTAATGTTTTTGTTTCTACTAAGTTGTATTAATGTTTATATTTTCTCAGTACTTTGCACTTAATCTTATATTCCGAATATCTGCTTGTTACAGAGAAAGGCATCTATGTGATTGGGTTCAGCTACCCTGTGGTGCCCAAGGGAAAAGCCAGAATTAGGGTGCAGATTTCTGCTTCACACTCGGAGGCTGATGTTGATAGAGCTGTTGATGCTTTCATTGAGATCGGCAGAAGTTTTCACATCATCAAGTGAATTTTCTGAGAATGGGTGTCGGTAAACTAACTGTAATAGGTGGTGGAAACATTTTTTTTCTCTCTTATATATAACTATGAATATTTTAGTGACATCAGAATCAAATCTGTAGTGTTATAGTTTACAGCTAGGCTGTGATATCTGCGCCTTTTGGCCTAACACATCCAATTTCAGTAAACTCCTAATATGTCTTATTTTACGTGCATAGGGCTAGCAGTCTGTTCCTCCATTCACTTCTACCCTCTGAGGTATGGGGTCCTGTCTGCCACCTTTGGCCTCTTTCATCATTGTTAATCTGAGGGTTCCTCTTAGTTAAATTAGTTATGTATCCAGTATAGGACATTGCAGAACCAACACCAGCAGTTTTTTGGCTGTTGTGGTTTTTCTAGGCACATTTTATGTTCAGTAGTTTGCTAGCGCTTTCTGAGCGGGCAGCTCTTAGTACTACAGTCAAAACCAGTGCAAGACAAATTGTCTGCAGCTGGGATTAAATCCGGCATTACAAAGCGCGTTTGCAACCACATATGCTGACGTTTCTCTTAGACATGCTCATATTCTTACTCCTTTGTTTCCATTTCAGTGGCTGTTTGGTGATTCTCTGTCGGCTTCTCCTCGGGATATTTTCAGTATATCGTCGTCTTCTTTGTTGTTATCACCAGTTTTCCAGACATGTCTCTGATTCATTTTTCTTTTTTATAATTAATCTCATGTATTATAACATATTAGATTATGTTTATGACTCATGTGTACTTAGAATTTGTGTTTGTTGTAAGACTATACTGTGAAATTGATAAAACTTTGGTGGATTGTTTTTGATGGATCTCTATAATTATAAAAGTTTTCAATACCTATTGTTGATGTTACTGGAACCAGCAATCTCATCTGTTTTGATGTGATAGATTTTTCTTCTCTCTACATTCCAAGACAACATATTCTGATATGACAATGTTTTTGTTTTGTACTTTTTTCCCTTCGCAGTTTACCTGTTTAAAATAGAAGCAAATTCAGTTGAAATAATAATTAAATGTTAACTGTTTTTATTCTTTCCATAATCATTCCATGGCTTTCCTGTCAGTCTAGGGCAGTGGCTCTCAAACTTCCTAATGCTGCGACCCTCTAATGCAGTTCCTCATGTTGTAGTGACCCCCAAACATACCGTTATTTTTGTTACTACTTCATAGCTTCAATCAGTATGTGTTTTTTGATGGTCTTAAGCCACCCCTGTAAAAGGGTCTTTGACCCAAAAAAAAGGGTTGCGACCAACAAGTTGAGAACCACTGGTCTAGGGTAATCTGACATAATCACTCCACTTTTGCTATGACAGTGTGAGGTGCGCTGAAGCAGTTCTACTGTTGCCATGGACATGACATGCATTACAGGCATTCCTTGTTGTCATGATGTGGAAGATCATCTGTTATTGTTTCAGACTTTGCCTGGGCTCTGGAGGAAAGTTCTGGTTGTTCATCCACTTTTGGACTGCAGTCCTGTTCCAGAACCTGTGTGTTGCGTGTACATCCATTCTAACGATCTAACTTATTTGTATGCAGACTGCTGGTTCCTTGCCTCTCAGGCAGATTCACTCCGACTTCAAAGGAAGCTCCCAATTAGTTGACTCTTACAACGTGCTTTTGGGTAGGCAGTGGGTCTATTCTTGTTTTCCCTATAAAAGGGCCCTGGGACCCCGACTGGGAGCTTCACGATTTCAAACTGGTAGCTTCTCATCCATGTCCATCGTGGCTTTCATTGGAGGAACCCACTATAGGTTACATAGGGTGATTTAGTTTTGTTCCCAGTATGGAATTGTGAGGTACTTTCCATGATTGTTAGATAATGTGGAGGAACCCACTATAGGTTACATAGGGTGATTTAGTTTTGTTCCCAGTATGGACTTGTGAGGTACTTTCCATGATTGTTAGATAATGTGTGGTGCTGTTTTGATACATTTATCATTTATTGCTTTGATTTCCATAGAAACAGATAACCTTGTCATTAGTGTATTTGAATGTGATTCCCTGAGGAGTGGCTGGCCAAACAGTTAGAATTCTGGGCTCTCATGCGGGACATCCGGGTTTGAATACTCAGTGAGGCTGGGGATTTTTCTTTCTGTCGAGGGCAAAAATAAAATCCTCACCTGCACAGTCCGTGGTGACAGCACTAGCTATGCGGCAATAAATCCCCAAGCTCAAAGAGGCCCCCCGCCTACACAACAAAACTGGAATAATATAGACAGTTTTTGACAATATTGAAATTTTTTTTTCCCCCCCCCCCCCCTTTTTTTTTTTTTTTTTCTAAAGAAAGATGAATTTCAACTTTTTTTGTTAACTTTAAAACAAAATGCCTTATTTGCCAGAAACTATTAAACAACTTCGAATGTTTGTGAAATGGGTAGTACAAATTCACTGTATTCTGTTATTTTTTCTATATATATATATATATATATATATTTTTTTATTTTTTTTTGTAATTATTTTAATGGGTAAATGTGTACAAAAGTAGTATTTCCTGATGATTGTTGCATTTGTTTTTTAAACATAACTCATGAAACAACTTAAAAGCAAATAGCAAAGAATGGAGAATCAGAAAAACAACCAATATTTGTAATGTTTTAATCACCACTAATTAATTACTGGCATTCTGAGAACTAATATAGAGAGATAAGCAGATGAAAGAGAGGCAAAAGCTGAATACACAAAAGAGTTGAATAGGAGTAGACCACGAGGCAGACCAAGAAGATTGAGTGTTAATGTACAGACAGACCTACATATACTGAGGGTCATCAACTGAACGAGAAGGTCAGTCAGAGAAATAAACTGAGGCAGGTTTATCTGCCGCAGTGACCCTCAAGGGCTTGGAATGCTGAAGAAGATGACATTGTGAGAAAACATGAAATCCAAAGTTAAGTGGTCGCATATGTCAAGTGTATGTTTCACTGTGTCAGCTTTTGTTTATATACTACTATATGGCTGCAGGGTACAATTTGTTTGTTGTATGTTGCGTTGAATTCAGTTTAATGATAAATGAGCTCCGGCGTTCCTGCACCTAAAATGTGAATCCTAAATATAATACTCACTAAAATATGAACAAATTTATAAGGAAGTATTCTTTGTTTCCATTATAAAGTAGAATGACACTGACAGATGAGTAATTTGTGTTATCGCTTTATAGAATAACATTCCTGATGATATTGTTGAGGTATCTCAACACACAGTGTTTTCTTTCTGTGGTCGGCTTTCCTTGTTTAGCCCTTTTGACTCGGAAATTAGGAATTTGGGCACCCCCACCCCGTCCTTTTCCATGCACCATAAAAACAGTTTTGACTATCACTAACAAATGTTTACATATAATTTGTAAATTTAAAATTTATTTTAGAAATATGTCAAGGGGAATAATCAAGAAACAGAGCACAGCGGAGAATTAAATAGAATTTTGTTAGGCCTTAAAATATGCTTATGATGACTGCGTTACTATGCACCCGCTAAAAGCAAATTATGATACCATAAAGTTAGTTGCTTATCCTTTGCGGGACGTTGCAGAACCAACCCCAGCATCTTTTGGCTGTTGTGGTTTTTCTAAGCATATTTTATGTTTAATAGTTTGCCGTTGCTTTCTGAATGGTCAGCTCTAGGTATCACTGTCGAAACCAACACAAGATAGACCATCCGCAGCTGGGATTTAACCCGACACCCCGGCATTACGAAGCGTGTTTACAGTGCCTAAGTCACAGGTGCGGACTGACACCAAACTGACTTTTAAAAAAAAGCAATGTTTCACAACAGTTCCACCCATCCTCCCATTTTGCGAATATCATTTTAATTTTTATAATCATATCCAGACCTCCTAAAGACTGTGCAGGTGCAAACAGAACCAATCTTGTTCACTAGTCTTGTCAAGGACTGTCCTGGGGCATTAATGGTCTCCCAGGGATGATTTCATGAATGGCACAGCACAAATATGGGTTATTGTGGGCAAAAAGGGAAGTCATCTCTTGACATGTTTACAAGTCAGAGCATAAATTGTTTTTTTATCTTCTTTAACATTGTTTGGTTATTACTGATGATTTTACCTTGTTTATACATCTACTAACATTGTTCACATGTCTCAGCAGACATTTAACTTTCCATGATCAGTTTACATTCTTTATTTATCCTTCTTTACATTTCTTAATTATTTCTATTATTTTGAAAAATATATTTACATTCTTTGTTGGGCTCATATTTGCTAAAGATATTAATATACATTAGAGTTTACTGTGTTAAACCAAGTTGTTGCTTGTGTTGTTGCTTATTGAATTTCATATATTGTGCACCGAACATAGCTAAAAAGAATTGAATTCACCGGTTAGGAGTGGCAAAATAACAGTGGCAGATACAAGTGTTACCGACAAATTGTTGTCTATGTTCTAAGGAAATAAGTTGTTTGTTTCTGTGGTCTTGTTATGTTTTCTATGTATGTTTACTGTAGCCTTATTTGCTTTCATTTACTGTCTGTAGTTAATTTAACTTGTTGAGCTGTAAGTTTTTTTTAGCAGTAATAACGATGTCTTTTTTTTTAATACTGTCTTTAAAAATGTATTTTTATTAGATTCTATAACTAAGTTTGTTGTTATAATATGCATTGTTCCTCTTTTACTATAGTTTTGCTTCAGTTTTATAAAATAGTTCCAGTAATTCAGTGCTTTTTCTTATTCTTATCTAACTTCTTTTTATTGTTTAGTATAGAAGAGTTTCATTCTTCTGAAACCATCACTTTCTTATATTTACTTCTTTATTTTCCTGTTGTTCATTTACCTGTATTTAACATGTTATTATCTTCCCTGTTGACACACAAGCAGATCATACAGTTGTGACAACAAAGATTAAATGCCTTAGAAAAGCTGCAGGAATTTTAAGTAAAGACATAATCATGAAATCAGACAAATGCTAGAAATAAAGCCAGTCTTACAGGTCATCAAAAAACAACAAATGAAGTGGTTTGGACACCTAACAAGAATGCGCTGGTAC